ATGCATGCCTAAAGACATATAGACAACATTTATATACAAAATAATGTTATGGGCTTAATTGTCAATTTGATCCTTAGCTTATTTAAGTTTTAAATTTGGTATTGTAGTATGATTAATGGGGGTCTTGAATTGAATATTGATTCAATGACTGTATTTCTCTGCTACAATTTCGGTTTAGAACTAAAATGAGTATTAAAATCTGATCAGACTTATCTAATACTCATCATAAATGATTACTCGGCCAAGTGGGAGAATGTTAGACACGATTTTATTATGTGGCCTGAGTTATCATTTATCTAATTAATTGATCATTGACCTAATAAATACCCTACGTACTTAATTGGTAATTATTCGATGGACGTAATTACCCTTATGACCTAATTAGGGTTTCCCTTTGGGTGTATATATAGAGGTCATTAGGCAGAGATCAACACACACCAATCTTACGCCTTCTCTCTGCCTCTCTATTCTCGTGAGTCTCATCCTCACCTTAGCCATCATAACGATACACCCTAAACGGGAACTCGATCTGCGTGAGAATCATGGCTTCATCCCTAACTACGTTTACAGGATTATCAGGTACACATGATTAAATCCCTAATTTATATTTTATGTTTAAGAATTGATCAACAAATTATTCTATAGCATTAAAGTGTGTGACATATCACTTTTGGAAATTTCTTAACACTCCATTTGGAAATTTATTATCACTCTATTCTATTACACTCTCTTTTAGTCTCAAAAGTAGAATTTGATTACAAAGGGGCAAGATGTGCATATTAATCTCAAATCCAAAAAAAAGCATAAAAAAATTAATTTCAAATTTCATCCTACGCCTAATACTCTATATGTTAATTGTTCAGTAAAATTAAAGTGTCTAACATATCACTTTTGGAAATTTCTTAACGATCCCTTTGGAAATTCCTTATCACTCTATCTCATTGCATTCTTTCATAACCTGAAAATGTGAAATTATGGGTGATCAGTAAACTCAACTTAATATGAACATATACTCAAAAGCCCAAATCCATGTATGTTATAAACTTCAAAATACATCTAAAATTATTAGTTCAAATACAGAGAACCCAACTTTTTGTAAGTCAAAAATAAACTTTAATTCAATGTTTAAGGCCTCGAGATAAAAAGCCTTTTTCTTTTTAATTCCCGGTAAGAAAATTCTCCCTATTTTAATCTAATGTCTTACCTGTACTTAGCATTTTTAGCTTAATGGCCATGTGTAATTTAAATTTTATCTAAACCAAATGTCTAATATAACACAAATAAAAATTTGACACTCCCTATATCAAATTTTATTTTAAAAATTAGCTATTAATATTACATAAAGAAAATAATTGAAAAATAAAAAAAGTGTATTTGTTGTCCTGGGAAAAAATGAAACAAAAATGTGTATTTGTTTATATACTAATAAACTCTATAATTTTACCCTTCGTAGACTTAACAAAATGATTGTCAGCAGTATAAATTGTTGACAATCTAAGGAATAAGAGGCTGGTTCTAAAGCCACTGGAATCCAGTGGCTACCCCCTACGGAACTCCGTTCATGAAATTGATGATTCTTACCCCCCTAACCCCCCAGTAAACCCAACCGCCAAGTCTTGACCCAAACTTCTCTCCTCACCTACGTCAATTGCACCTCACAAGTATAAGTCAAAAATTTTGACTTTAAAGTCAATTATACTTGCAAGGTGCATTTGACGTAAGTGGGGGAGTAGTTTGGGTCGAGACTTAGCGGGGGGTAGTGGAACAGTGGCTTCCGTAGCCACTAGATTCCAGTAGCTCTAGAACTGGCCTCATGGAATAAACTCTGTAATTTTTTTTAAAGCTAGGGTGCTTTGTTTATTCATTCATTGCTTCATCAAATGTATAGAGGGAAATATTTATAACCTCTTCCACAGCAGCAATATTAACAAACACAAAATGCCTCATTTTATTCTTGTGAATTTAGATTTTGGAATTAATAAACTCTAGACTCATCTGAATCAATTCAAATACCTCATTTTACTCTTGAGGACAACTAAACCTTAACCTTCTTTCACTTCAAAATGCTAACATTTTAGCTAATACTCGAGGCTTTGTAACTAACTATTTTCCATCTATCATTTTAAAAAAATTACTGCTCGCAGTTTGCTTCATTAGTGGATCACAGAACTTAGCTGTCCTTGAAGTCAATAAGTTTCTTCTCCTTGTCATAGTTAAGCAACCCAATCATTTGGCAATGAAAAAGCATCACCTGCAACATGAAAGCACAATCTTTAACAATTAACTTAAAAGATTAACATTTAAACAAATGATAATAAAAGAATGACTTGATCCATGCTACAACTTCACATCTTTGTTGCTTAATTCACAATGTTTTTTAATACGAATTAAAAAAAAGTCAAATCAGCATTTTGGTTCCTCTCAAGTTTAAAATATTCTCTCAAAAACAAATTGAAGGAAATCAAACTACGGAAGTCTAAAAAATCCAAAAAGTATTGAAGTCATATTATATCATGGTAAGTGTTTGAATTTGTTTGAATAAGTCTATTTTTTGAAATTAACTTCTTTGATTCAATCATATTCAATCGATAAATCAAGAATTGAACCATAAAAAAATTTAGGTGAGAATAAATAGAGAAATAGAGGTGTATAGTAAGTATGTAGCTGCCAAAAGAGCCATAACTTAACAATCTAAGATTAGGATGGGTGACTATGATATTCTAGTTATTAATGTTTGGGATTAGACTAACTTACTTAACATCAATCAAATTCTGTAAGTCATAA